GTGCTGGTGGTCGGCGTATGTTCCTCTACGGGGAGTAACAGGCGTAAGTAAGTCACTTGAAATTTTTATAACATTCCTTCATCCATACTTAATATCTAATTTCTAATGTGGTATATGATTCATCAAGCTAAAATATCGATGCAATAATGCATAAAAGAAATTATATATTCACATAACACTAATATCATATGCAGAATGTCTATCCAATTTGATAGCTTGAAAACATTTAATATTTTGTCATTCTGATTATATGTTACACATTTTATCTAGTAGTCAACAGGTAGGAAATGCTTTTTTCGAAATGTATAGACTACCTCCAACTACCATCTAAATATCAATACATAGTGCCCGCAGTGTCGAGTCACCTAGACTGGTGGCCACATTGCAACATGATCAATAGCATTCGATCTGCACTAATAAGGACTAGACAAGCATGACATTGATCACCACCCAGTGATCAATCAATTGTGATGTATAACCTTTACATTATTTTGCCTAATATAAATACAGGAATATTCAATGTCTAGGTTGAACAAAGTGTAAACGTGTGGAAAAGATCATACTTTTAATTGCTCTGTTTCCATAACCAACACAAAACACATTCATATAAGTGAACTAAGTACTCACAATATGTTGACAGTATTATCTGACAAATATAATAACATTTGAGGCTTCTGTTAAGAAATTAAAGTTATACTAGGAAAAAAAGGGAAGTAAACATCTACGATAAGTACTTTTGAATTTTGTTTAGCTTTAGTAATGCTGAAGTATAAAATTATTTTTTGGTTAGCGTTTTTTAGCGAAATAGATTTCTACGGGATAGGGTCGCTAACTCCATCCAAACCCTCCTCCTTTATCTGAACTTGGGATCGGCAGTAAACTTAAAGGGGCTCTAGGCTGAGATAAGTATAGAATGGTAATTAATTTTATTAAATTTAACTGAATACAGTTGTTCACCTTAAGATAGCTGGGCAAACATCAAGCTTTATATAGTATGTGATCAATACGAAGGATGATACCACAAAGTTTGTACAAATCTAACGCCTGTGGCTTTTAAACGGTAGTTGCGCGTGGTTGTGTCAGCAGTGCTGCTCGGAAGTAAACACCTTGCTATCCGAAGCCATTGCAATAGTGAGTGATGCTAAAACGAGCATTAGCAAGCGTAGTGTAGGCGCATCAGATAAGCTCAAAGTCGATTCACTTACATGGGCAAAAAGAGGAAGGACCGACTTCAAAGAGGTCTTCCACAAATAAAAGCTCAAGAAACGAAGTTCCTTCTATATCCCGTCCTCCGAATGGCAGTCAACGAGAAACACCTGGATGACCTAATCGTAAGATTAGGCTTGTTTCTGGTGAGCACAGCAAAAACCTGACCGCTCAAGTCATTGACAATCATCTCAGATCTCACTATGTGAGTGAAGCGACTGTGACTGATCGAGAATAAGAAACGACGCAATGTTACTGAAAAAGCCAGTCCCCCAAAACGTGGCCGAAAAATCGAAGACTGATCATGATGATAGGTCATTTATCTTTCATAGAGTCAAGGAAAATGAAAGCTCAGAACCTAAAACTCGTTTTGAGCATGATATTGAGTTGACGAAACAGCTACTAAACCAACCAATACCTCAGGATATCTCCGGAATTACCCTGCTGAAAGTTTATAAACTAGTTAGCCAAACGAACTTGAAACAGTATCAAACCATGCTGCCAAAAATAATATTAAAATCTCCTAATGGATGGGATTCAATATTACAGAATGAACATAAACTAAAGAGGTACGGAGTCTTTATCTATAGACATTTATCCCTCGTGGACAGGATAAAAAGACTAAAAGCTGAAAAAAATTAAAATTTAGTTTAGATGCTGGTGAAAAGAACCTCAAAGTTGTAAATTTTGGGATTATTTATTTGCTCTAAAGAAATGGTTTGCAGTATGCCACGAAACGCCAGAAACACAATTTTCTACTTATTGAAATGTAACAAAAGATTTACTTATTATCAACTTCCTACCCAATGCTCAATTTCTTTGAAACTATCAAGTCCAAACCTTGACATTGATATCTATATTAACTTAATGCCCAGATTTATTTGATACTATTAACTGAACCATCGATAATGACACATAACGGTAACATTGTTCAACAAAATGATCACTAGTGACTGACTTCAAGAGATACTCCTGGAGTTCTAGTGAGAAGCCGTTACCAGTGGAGTTCAACCAGGTCTGTTTTGAGATAGGAACTCACTGAAGACAATGGTGTACGGTGGCGCAACTTCGTGAATTGGCTTAAGTTAGACATTAACACCGTTGGATGCCGGCTCAGTGGTCTAGTTGGTTAAGCGCCTGGCGCGAGACTGATAGGTCTTGGGTTCGAATCTCGCGTGGTGCGGGAACGTGGACGCGAACTGCTAGAGAGTCCCATACTAGGACGAAACGGCTGTCCATAGCTTCTAGGTTTTCCATGGTGGTCTGGCTTCAATTGACTCATGATTTCAATCAGTGAAAATGATTATTGTTATTGAATGATTTATTTTCATTGTTTCACGACTAGTATATGATGCATTAATCTTAAGATCATCGAATTCAATAACAATAACATACATAGAAAAAAATCTAACGTGTTATTATTACTATCAGGACTCAATAGCTAAGTGGATAACGTGATGATGTTTGAAGCGAACGGTACTGGGTTTGAGCTCCAGATTGATCATCAACTCTGAGATACAGATACATCCAGATGGTGAGTCATAAAGAGGATGAAACACGCGTCCTGGATTCCACTGCTAGTCACTACCCATCACTGATTATAATGCTTGTGAATTAAGGCAATATTGAGACAGTTCACACAGGATGCACATATTCCAACAAGAGACTGATCAATAGCAGTGCAAATTAACAAAGGGAAGATACAAGTAAAACAACACCAAGTGAATTTCCTTCATGATAAAATATAAATTTTTTCAGAAGTGGTAGATTATGAATATCCTATCGATGTTAGTTAATGCTATAACTTATAGCCTCATAATGAGAATAACATGAATATACATAGTATAGTCTACTTAACAATTATACAATAAAAGAATATATGTATAGTATTAGTCCATAAATGGATGCTAACAGTTTGCATTCATTATTCTCATTGGGATATATACTAGTTATATGTAATATACTACTTATTAGATATTAAAAAAAACAAGACAATTAATTAAGTTTTTCTTTCTTTTGAACTCGAATCAAAGAATTTCAAAGATAAGTAATTGTTATTAATTATTATAATTAACAATTAGTTAAATGAATGAAATGAACCCGCTAAACACATTGGTAGGGTATACAAGTTGCATATATATTGAATAAATATAAAAGAACACCTACTTTGATAGGGATTACATTACAATAGTCATTACGGTATTAATGTTTAGTATTGTAAAATGAAGTATTTGATTATGTTGAAAGGAACATGTTAATATTAGATGGCTTACAAGTTTCTTCTCGTTTTCAACAGTTGTGGTTTTATTATTTTTTATTTTTATTTTTTTCATTTTTCACTGCTTCTAATCTTTATCAACAAAAATTTCATTTGATTAAGAAAATGCATTATCAGTAGTTATACTGGTAAACTTTCATGATCAGTTACTATTTAAATGAATCTTTGATAAGATCAAGTATTAGTATAGGGGTTGTGGAGATTATTAAGTTTTTGAATGAGATCATGAACCGATTGATGTTAGACCATCTTTGGAAACCTGGAAGCACTAGACGGCCATTTCGTCCTATTGTGGGACTCCTCAGAAGTGCCCATCCACGATCCCGCTCGCAGGATTCCAACTCAGGGTCCCGCTCACAAACGCTTAGCCTACTGGACCACTGAGCAGGCATCCAATGGTGTTAGTGTCTAACATCAACCAATCCACGAAATCGCGCGACACTATCATCACTGGATCCCGGCTTAGTGGTCCGTTAGGTTAAGCGTTCGCGCGCGAGACCGAAGGCCCTGAGTTCGAATCCCGCGAGCGAGCGAAATCGTGGATGCGCAATGCTGAGGAGTTCCACAATAGGACGAAACGGCCGTCCAGTGCTTCCAGGTTTCCAACGGTGGTTTAACATCAATGTACCGAAATGTAAACAATTGTGTGGTATATATCAGAAGGGTTTTTTGTGGATATTATAGTAATTTCAATGGTTGTGATCATGAATCAATTGAAGCTAGACCACCATGGGGAACTTGGAAGCACTGGATTGCCGTTTCGTCTTATTGTGGCACTCCTCAGTAGTGCACATCCACGATTTCGCCTTGTGAGATTATCACCCAAGACCCATTTCTCATCAATCGTCCGTCACTTCATAACAGATTTGAAGTTGGTTATTTTCCTTAATTAGAATCAACATATTTTACATTTCTTATTTCGGATATATCAACTTCAGGATCTTTGTTTTTGTCTTTTTTTATTTTGCATAACAGTCATAGGAGTCACGAAACTATACTAATATTATAGGTTACTATTTTAATAAATTTAACTTTATCTATAGCCAACAGTGAATTCGTTTGAACTTGTATCTATTTTCTCATGATTCCTACTAATTTTGACGGATTACATAAAGATTTATTGGATAATTTTTAATAGTAGCCAGATAATGTGTAAATATCTAAACCTATTTTACAGATCTTCAAGTTATCACTATGAAGTTATTCAATTTTCGAAATTCAATTACATTCCTAATGTTTATAGATGATTTCAAGTATGTCAATAACATATAACTCCATATCCTTGTTTTAGCTCTTTTTAGATTGACATTCAAGTACATTCTTTAATGAAGATTATTATCTCCAATAGTTTAAACTATATGATTCTCAAGTATTTGGTTCGTTTTTTGTCAATCTCATTTCCTTTCCTTTCATTAAGGTTCCTTCTCCTTTATTCATAACCTTCTTTAGCTTTATTATTTCTTTTATTACTTAGTAAACAACTTAATACTAATTACATTTACTTTTGTGAATTGAACTAAAATGATGATGATGACGATGATGATGATGATGATGATGATTTGGATGATGATGATGATGATGATGATGATTTGGATGATGATGATGATGATGATTTGGATGATGATGATGATAAACTAATCATCAAATAGAAAAAAACGTATAAGATAAAACGTAATTTTCTGTTTTGTAAAAACAAGCAAAAAATCAATTGACATTAACTTGAAGAGATCTCCATAATCTAGTCTCTCAATGTATTCCATTTTGATTGTAATAATTTAGGAGTACAATGAAAGATGATCGTGCAGTTGAAGTTGAAGTTAGATATTAACACTGTTGGATGACAGCCAGCACAATGGTATAGAGGTTAAGCGTTCGCATGTGAGACTGAAAGCCCTGGGTTCGAATCCCGCGAGACAGAATGGTGGATGCGCACTACTGAGGAGTCTCACAATAAGACGAAATGGCCGTGTAGTGCTTCCAGGTTTCTAATGATGATTTAACATCAATCGGTTAAAGATCTCAATCAAAAACTTAATAATCTTTACAACCCTATACTGTAAAATTCATATATTTATATCATTCATTTATCTTGTTTTATTTAGTCAACTCACATAAATTTATTTCTTTTTGGGATAAAATCTTACAGTTCATTTGCAAGGATTGGTATTTTTCTGTTGTTAGTGTTAAACATTACAAAATAATGAATCCTGATTGAGTTACTACGATATTACCATTAAATTACAAGCATCTTTAATTAAAGTATAATGATAGCTAATAGTAAAATTAATGATGAACGTTTCATCATATTTGACCCTCATTAATTGTGTGTATCTGACCTCTAATCATACAGACTCTAATCTCGCATTCTTCATTACAAATGCCAATCTGGTTATCCACTGAACTATGAAGTTGAGATAGCCACTAGATTAAACAACTAAGATGTCTTTTATTTCATTCACAATTCTAAAAACTACAATTTTTATGTGAATCCTTATCTACTTATATCATTATATTAGTACTCAATACTGATGAAATTGAATATAAAAAAAAGAACTAAGTTACAGAAATTAAATGATGACTCTGAATGCCCTCTATCATTATGCTTGATGATTAAACATGCTTGAGAGATTAAAATATTAAAATTTAATGTTATAAGATCGACAAGATTGTCAGTCATTTGAATTTCAGATAAAGTATAGACAAAAACATTTGTGATAATGTGGTGTGTGCTACTAATGTCGACAGATATAAGTAGTATGTACCATTAACAGAAGATGAAATACCTGGAAGCAGAAGGTTAAGAGAAGGTGGAAGATAGGAAAACGAGAGCAGAGAATGATTGGTGTAGAAACGAAGGAGCAATGAAGTCTGAGACGATTGACTGACATTTTGCAGACGAAGTATTTACTTTGAGATGGTGAAGAAGATTTGTAGCTCAGGTGGATCATTTTGATGGAGTTTTGTTCTCTGAGCTGGGTGGTTTGGTCGTGGAACCGAACAAGCTATGAAACGCATATGGAGAAACTCGAGCACTTCACTTCTATATGAAGTTAGTGCTGATGATGTCGTTCAGAAGAACGATGAAAGCTCCACGACCAAACCATCCAGCTAAGAGAAAAGAACTCCATCAAGTATTTACTTTACTAAGAGATTCCGTAAGTTTGTGTTGAAGTGCATTTCATTGTCCCCACTGGTGTTCTCGTTCACTACAACATTACTATTTATAAAAATCTCTCTGAAATTACCATTTTACTGTAACTAAAATGACCAATAAATTAAGAATTATTCAAATCATTCGAGATTTTATATCCAGTAAAATTAACTCGAACTATTTGACTTTTATTTCTAAAGAACAGATAAATATTCCTCGAAGTAATAAAATTTTTGTATAGAAGACAGATACATCAAGAATAAAATGATAACTGATTATAAAACCTTTCATGGATTCTAATTCTAATGTGTCGTTCATATTCTAGAACAATCCATTCATTAAATTGTTAGTTGTTAAGTTGTTTAATATCATCAAGAATATTTTGTAATCCCAGCAATTCATATCTATCTATGAAGAAATTACAATATCCCCTGAAACTGGCGAACGCAACGAAAGTCAGCAACACAGAAACAGGACAATCTAAACTATTGTATTGCGCCACAGTCGTCTTAACTAGAGGACAAAGACCAGAATCAACCGAAGAAAAACTATATTTCGCAAGCAGTTGGGAGCACAAAGTAACAAGCATACAACTTTAGCGTATATATACAGCATAGAAATATCCTTAGAAAATGTTACAAAATAGCGTACTGACATTTAAGATCCTCCCACGTGAGAAATGCAAAACGAATGTAAAAGTTGGTGCTTTTGACAGGAAAACGACAAATTCAAATGTTCAAAATAAAATTACGAAACTGAGATTACCAAGTGATTCCTGGAGATCTAACATTCCCAATATTCGTGTATAGCCATAATTATCCACGCTGTTCACACAAAATGTGTTTTGATAGAAATAAGAATGCATTTTTACATTTATATAAATAAATATCTAACGTATAATCGCTTAAATTTGATAATCAGTCAGTCAGTTACAACGTAGGACCAGGCACATATATGCATCGGTCCAGGTTGCCATACCTCATTAGAGCAACAAGTTCAAGAGTGAATACATAGAAGTAGTTTGCCCAGTGGTGGTAATATATAAGCAAAATTTCATATAACGATATAGTACAGAAAGAAACAATTAGTTCGTAGAATGAAAGATATGAAGCGATTTTAATCTCACGGTTAAACGGAAGATAGAGAACGTATAAACCTACACCATTGTGATCGAATCTGAGCCATGTCATCCAGAGTCTCCAATCATTGATAATACTCATTCAAAAATTAGTTAACAACCTACTTTTACATACTAGTTAATAATTAATTAGCAATTTGCTTATCTAGGTATATTAACATCGATTAGACATATTCTAACAGTGGAGATATCATGAGTAAATGTTAAACTCTACCATCTGGATGTTCAACTGCGTATTACAAAATAAATATAATCAACCTAACAATAATCCATTTGTATTGACTACATGCAAAATTTTGTTACTAACATCCATGACTCTATTTATGTGCGCGTATAGTATTCTCGCATTGTTCCTTTGTACTATTTAAACTTGGATAAATTTTGATTTAGTTTTGTGACCTTATATCTGACTTCAATTAGATCATATGAATGTTATTGAAGTACACACGTTGCATATTCTCGTATCTAATCATCGACTTAACTCGCGTTAGTGTATAATGGAATTAAATGAGTCAAATACAAGACTGAATTTTTGAATACACATATTTTGTACACTCATTAATGTGAACAGACCATAAAAGGGACGAAGCGAAGAAAGGGATAAGAAGAGAACGAAGCAAAACGTTACGCAGGGGGTTGGCTTACACGTATAATTCGATATTATCTTAATCCAGAGGCTGTATAATCAAAGATGTGTGGTGGCTAGCAGTAGAATCCAGGATGCGCGTTACGTCATATTTGGGACAGGTCGGCTGGATGTTGATGTTCACTCAAGACTCAGTAGCCATGTGGATAACGCGATAGTGCTTTAAGTGAACGGTATTGAGTTCAAGTCCTAGATTGAACATCAACTCTGAGATGTAGGTACATCCGGCTGAAAAGTCCTGAATAAGACGAAAAACGCGTCATGGATCACACTGCTACTATCCATCATTGCTTATAAAATTTATCATGAAACGTTCATAATGGATTCTAAAATATAGGAAAAAGATCAGATAATTGTAGAAATGAAATACTTGGGTGATATTGTATAGATCAATTTATTAATGAAATAAGAACGTTTATATAAGTACGGAGTAAAAAAATAATCTAGGTTCACATATGAACATAATAAAAATAATAACATGTCTCTGACAGTGGAATTCACGAGTTGATTCAAACTGGACCACCACTGATAACTTGGAAGCACTGGATGGCCGTTTCGTCCCACAATGAGACTACTCGGCAGTGCGTATCCATGGTCCCGCACGTGAGAACCGAGCTCAGGACCTTCGGTATCGCACACAAACTTTTCATGTCTAGACCACTGAGCCGTCATCGAACGGGTTTAATGTCTAGTTTCAACCAATCCACGATACTGAACAACAATCTTCCATTGTCATCGGCAAGTAACTCTTTCACAACAGACACGGTTTGAACTCTAGTGGTTACAGCCTCTCACTAGAACTTCGAGAATTGTCTATACATCAGTGAGTACATCAATATTGTCATTGAGTCAAACAGTCTATTAATTTTAACCGATAACCAATGAATTCAGTTGATGTTGTTTTACTTGTATCTTCCCATTATTATTTAGGACTACAATTGGTCAGTCTTATGTTGGTATATGTGCATCCTGTGCGGATTACCTCGATATAGGTACATCCAGCTGACGAGTCCCAAATTGGATGAAACGTGCGTCCCATATTCCACTGTTAGCCACTATCTATCTTTCCTTGATAACCAATAAGTCTGAAGTAGGATGAAATGCATGTTATATTATATAAGGAATATTGAGAATTGAATCAAATTGTCTACTAAAATGGCATTAAAATAATAATAATGATCATGTTTCAAGCTAATACATGATTTTTTTCAAAATGAACAATCGATGTTATTTTAATTTTTAATAAATTAACTACAGTAAATAAGTTATGTTCTGGAAAAACTACCGTTCTTCTAATCGTTTTTATTAGTTATGAATAAAAGATTTATAATGTTCATGTAAAACAAGAACCATAATGTATTACATATTCACAATTGATTGATCACTGGATGGTGTTCAATGTCATGTGGGTCAGGTCGTTCTTAGGGCAGATCGAATACTATCGACTAAGATGCAATGTGGCCATTAGACTAAGTGACTCGACATTGCGGGCACTATGTTGTGATAAGAAGGTGGCTGGAGATAATCAACTGGAAACCCTAGACCCGGGTTTCGTGTCACTTGGCAAGGTGTACCTGTATTGTTCTTGAGGGAACTGGAGCTCTCTGGCGGATTCGATCCCGTGTCACTTAGCTTCACAGTATTACAAATTAAATTATGAATTAAAAGTTTTCTTAAAAAAGAACTTATGCTGACCAGTGTTACTACTATGATGTATGTAACACTGATCAGAAATGGAATGCCTGGTAGAAAAAGGTTAAGAAGATCAAATTAAAGAGAACAATAATCTAAGCACAGAGTAATTGTAATAACAACAGGAAAGAAA